CATAACTATCAAAAAGTGGATTTAAATAACTGTAATCCCTCTCTTGGCTAAAAGCTAGTTTTTCTTTTTTATTATTTAAAAAAATAATCAAATCTCAGATCTCAGTAAGTTTACAAACTATCTGTGAAGATTATTTACTTGTTTTAGTATGAAATCCACAGTTGCTGAGTCACCTGTATGAGATTTTGGGTTGCTCAGCAATCCTGAGAAATCAGGCCAGGTCTATTTATAGGAGCTTCAAGTGAGCGTTTGGGAATTTTACTTTAAATCCCCAGCTATCCCAGTGCTGTTCTGTCTCTGCTACACCTCAAAAAAGTTCATAATACCCAAAGCTCTAAAAGCCATGAGGTACAATTTTTGTCTCCAAAAGCCCTAGCTATTCTTGATTATTTATTGCCACTCTAACAGCCATTTGAGAATGACCTTTAAATTTCAAGATTTTTCCTGTGGGTATTTACCTTATAATACTGAGCTTTGGAAAAGGAGCAGTGAGGTTACTGATGTGCCAACAAGAATAGGGAACCTCTGAGAGGCAAACAAGGACCATCAAGAAGTGCAAAACTGGTTAGAACCCACCTGGATCAGCTTTAGGTCATATCTTAATAAATGAGGGGGCAGGGGGAAGGTGGATTTATCTTAGATGTATTACAGGATAGAGAACTTATTCCTGAAATATGAAAAAATATTAGTTGAAGTTTAAACAACATTAAGATAATATAAGCTTTAGAGTCTGAGAAGGCGCCAGAAGAGATCGAATTTAGATCATCAGATATTTTCTTCAAGATAAAAGTAATGATGCACAACCAGGAGAAAAAGTGGTTGTTTGAAACCACCAAAAAAACACATATTTTTTTTCCTAAGTAATTTTTAGTAATAAAATTTAGGAACTAAAAAAGCAACAAGATTTTCTAAGTAATTTTCCCCTTCACAGGTCTAAAAAAGTTATTTTCATAGAAAAAAAAAGAAAACTATAGAAATCAAACCCAGTGAAAGTGAATATAACTAAGTTGCTTCACTTTTCTTTCATGCTCTGCCCTACTGAGAGAAATAAATTAGCTAATCAGAAGTGTAAAAATGATTGCTTCAGAAGCCAATATTTGACAATAATACAAAGAAACACCCCCACAATAAGGTGAAGATTTTAGGCAAAATATTCTGACCACACTTCAAACTTACACCTTACACTTACACAGCTTCCCACACTGACTGAGGGGAATGAATGCTTTGCAGTCTCACTGATTAAAATCCATTTTGTCATTGGAGGGGTCAGTGCTGGTGAGAGGATTGCTCTGGTTGTGCTTTGTTCTGTTTGCTTCAAGGTGTCGGTGACAGCGACTGGATGAGTTCCAGTCCCAGTCTGGAGCTCATTCCACGCTCCCAGATGGGATCTCTGCATGTGACAGGCTGAGGAGGAAGGACATTCTCCTTCACCCCAGCTCAGAATGGATTTGTACCTTTTCCTATACACTTACATATACTTACCTATACCTATATACATATATATAGGTATAAGTGTATATATGTAGGTAAGTACACTTATACATACCTTACCTATATCCTATGCTTACCTCCTAACATTTACCTAACAATGAAATGAGTGTGAATTGAACACTGCCCAGTTTTACAGCCTTTTACTACATATTTGAACAATATTTCTTGTTCTAAAAACAAGAGATCAAACCAAAACCAAAAAGAAGAAAAGTGCCCTTTCTATCAGTGTTGAAAGCAAGTTTTCAATCATGCTGGTTTATCAAAACTACTCATCTGTTAGGAGAAGTAAACAATTGGGTCTATGTTCAATGTTAGTGACATTTTTCTATATGTAACAACTAAAATAATTATAAAAATTATGAACATGTATTTTTATTAGGGTTCAGAGCAAAGATTACACTACCAATCTTCTGAACCAGGCCTAAAAAATGGAAGTTACCAAACCAGGATCCAATTCCATGGCACAAAATATTGAATGCCATCCTTAATCTAACCGTGAATTCACCAAACTCCAAGAAGAATGGAATTGAAATATAATACAATATATGCTAATATTGCCGTAATTTTGAAAGGAGATGATTAATAAGAAAACAGGTCAACTCCAACACTGCCAGAGATGCCGCTGCAAAGAACCAAAAGAAGTGAAGAGACTGAATCAAGATAAATAATTCTGTCCAAGTCTAACAGCAATAGCCACAACCTGAACTTGATTTAAATGCATGAGGATATTTTGTTGTGGACAACTAAGGCAGAAGAATAAAAAACTGAAGTGTGGCTAACAACCTTCTGTTAGCACAAAGTTCTCACAGTATGAAAAAAGGCTTCTTGCAGCAGCAGCCAAGGAAAAAAAATATCTAACAAAAGTTCTACAACCATAAAACAGGTACAGAACAGTTTTCTGGTTTTAATATTACAGTCCTTTAGAAATGAAGGTTTTTCATAAAAAGTCCCCCCCACACTCCCTATAGCAGTTGAGATTCCAACTCTAATTTTGAATTTCCAAATTCATCAGACAAACTGGACAGTAACAGCTGACAGCAACAAAAGTGAGATTGAATCTTTCATCTAGTCATGGAATGGCTTAATGCCTTTCATATGGTCATGTTTCACTTCAAGGAAAAATGGCAACATTCTGTTAAATTTAAAAAAAATCAAAGCAATGCAGTTGTGGGTAGAGGAAGACTTGACAAAGAAACTAAAATAAAATCCAGCCGAACTCTTTGGAGATACAAAGTAGAGCTACAAAGTTTTTAAAACTATAACTCAAAGCTGTTCTGTGTTTACCACACCAATCTATATTTATTATTATTTATATTTATTTATATTTACTACAGCATAATATTCCTAGAACTAGTCTTTTTACATGCACAAAAAAAAAAAGCTGTTTTCAAATGCTGCCTGTCAATTCACTCACTGCAAAAACACAATGTGAAGTGCAATGTGGCAAACCAGAGCTAAGTGCTCTCTCTCTTTCCTCTTTCACAGTCTATGATTTTTTAGCAGAGATGAGAAATGGGATTTTTGGTACATATGCTAACATATTGTCTCCAGCAGAGCACACAAGCACAGATGCACATTTATTTCATTAGCAATGCTCCTGCTCCACTCCAGGCTGCTGGGAAGGAGATCTAGTGAGTCACGGATGTAGCTGCAGAAAAAATCAGGAGTTTAGGGCTTGCCATATCACTCTTAGGCTGAATATGCAGAACTGAGTGAAACTTCCTTAAAATTCCAAGGTTCCCCTGAGGGAATGGGAATTTTCTTGCATCAGGAATGAAGGGTGAGTATAACTTAGTTATATTCACCTGTGCTAGGTTTGATGTCTATAAAAACTAACAACACTAACAGAAAATTACACTTAAAAGCTGCAGAACTGCTTTTGGATAAAAATACTGCCAAGTTTTGATGATTTCTAGACTGCAAACATTGTTAGGAGACATATTAGAAATGCCTGCCAGTGCCCACACCTTCCTTTTTCAGTATTTTAAACTGGCAGTGGCAACAATATTTCCAGTAAAGTAACAGAAAAAAAGCCTACAGTAGAATCCAAATATCCACCTGAAATTTCAATTTTTCTGTACAAGCACTTTTCTTTTCAAATAATAATTATTCTATAAGGAGAAAAAAAAAACACTCATGATCCTGATGGATTCTGCAAGCATGATGAGAAATTGTATTCCATGAAAATGAAAAAGACAAACTCAGTCATGAAAGTAACTTAAACACTGACATCCAAAACTGCAATTTTGCATGACATTTTCCCAGCTTTTCCACAACATGAAGAAGAGTAATTCAAGCTAGCCTGAAGGTGCAGGAGTACATGGAGCTGCAAAACACAAAAACAAATTGGAGCACAGAGACTCCACTTCATGACTTAGGCGCTCAATTCTAGCAAAGGATGGACCAAGAATGCACCTTAAAAAAAAAAAATCACATTTTATTCACATAACATAACTATCAATATTGGCTTTAAAAGGAAATGAGAAAATATAATTTGGGGCAAACCTATGTTAACTGATCAATTTTGAAATGAAAGAGTAAGATGGAACAGCCTTCCTCTCTAAAAAACTAGCAAGGATATATAGTTTAGGAGATTTGCTGACAGGCAGAGCTGTTTCCAATTCTATAAATACATAAGTGACAGTTCTTTCCAGATCTAGTTTGAGCTCTGGTTTTATTTCTTGATAGATAACACATAATTTCAGAAAACAGATAACATTCTGCTGATGAGGAGTGGGACAATGTTGTTGGACTGGATCCTCATCATGGCTCATTAGGGTATTTGCCTCAACTTAGCTGTTCTTCATTATTAACTCTGGGGACTGCAGGAATAATTGAGAAAATACCAGTTAGTTGTTGGGAACTGTACACTATGTGTCGTCAGCCACAACAGGCTGTCAGGGCAAAGAGATTTTACCAAGTATTTTTTTATTCCTACTTAAATACAACATAGCAGCCCCTGCCTTTTCTTCTATCCTGCAGGTTTGATACAAGTTTCCAGAGGCTGAAGGGCAGGACTTGCTGGACTTCTGCTGAACCAGCTGCAGCCTGGGTTGGGCACTCGACTTACCCCATGGAGAGTCAGCAACCTGCTGGGGCAGCATCCCCTTGGCTTCTAAAAAGTTCTGGTATTTACACAGGGTTAAAAAGCACTTTCTGGTACGACTGCCTGTAAAATAGCTTGGCTCTAACCTACTATAATTTTTTTTTTAAAGTATACCCCTAAATACTTGATCTCTGAACTAGCAATACAGTCCCCTTCATAACTGCTTTCTTGGTGCTTTTCCAAAAGGGATTTTGCTTCTAGATGGAGACAGCTGATGATAGTGACACTTTCCTTACTGCCACCTTACATACACACATACAAAGACACACTCCTCCCTAAACCCTCCGGAATTTTTAACCCACTTCATCTTTTACCACCCAGAGAGTTTTTGGTCAATGTATCCCATGATTCACTATACACAGAGTTCATTTTCAGAGTGGTATCTTTTTTTTTTTTTTTTTTCCCCTGGTTGTTTATCTTTTTGTTTTTTTTTTTTTTTTAAACAGTGGGTAATTACACCCAGTTCTCCCCCAGGACAGTACCAACCTCACAGATTTCTCAAACTCCCCTGTATCTTAATCCTCTTTTCTAAGATGGAAATTCCTAGAGACTCTAACTCTCCCTTTGCCATTCCTCAGAATTCCTTCCAGCTGTGCTACCATGGACTAGTTACAGCTGGGATTCAAGGTCTAGGCACATCATGGTGATGGTAGAGATGATTTCCAGTAATCTTATTATTATTTTTATAATTATAAATATCTCAACACTTTTTGGTAAGCCATGGCTCCTTAAACTATCATCTCTACAAGGTGATGTACAGAAACCCAAAATTCCCTCACATAAAGCAGATTAAATTCATTTTATCATTTTATGAAAAGCAAGACCTGTTTTTCTTCAGAAATAATATTTACATTTTTTCTCTTGAATTTTATTTCCCCCAGAAATCAAAACAAATTATCAGCAGGTATTCCTCACATAAAACACATTTCAAATGTCTCTATACCATTGTAAAGAATTTTCATATTGGTATAATTTATTTTTAAACAAAATTAATACCATTATTACAAGAGCACTTTGTTATGATTTTTATTTTCAAATTACAGGCATTTCTAATGCGATAAATTTCATAAAATAAGATCACTGAAGTCCAATTGTATCAATGACCAACCACCACAGACATACTTTTCCCAAAAAAGGTGGGGAAGTGGACAGAACTTCCAGCAGCATTTAAGTAATAACCTTCCTGTTCCACCATTAGAACCAGAGGAAATACAACAGAGAGATAAATTATCTCCATAAACCCCATCCAAAATACTGATTCACCACCAAAATAGTTTCTTTAGTTAGCAATATTTACAAACAAAATCAGAGGCAAATGTTTCAGCCCAACAGAGGACATTAGAGAACTTATCTGTCACTGATGCTCTTGCCAAGACACTGAAATGTGGTGAACAGCAAACCTTCTTTCAGACACAATGGAATGCAGCCTGAGTACATTTCAGAGTGGATGCAGCCCCCTTCAAGGACATGACCTTTCCAATACTCCATAAAGTTTTTACAGGAGTCAAGTGAAGAACACAGCTACAAACCAGCAAAACGGGATTGAAAACTCAAAATTTAAAATTGAACTTAAAAAACCCGAGATCAAATTAAGCACAGCTAGAAAATAATGAATTGGTTAGAAGCACCCAAAGTAAGAGATCATGGAAAATGTGTGAGTCCTGAGTGAAAAAAATCAAAAATCTTGAACGTAATTTCATTAGGAGAGCATGTAGTTCTGCTCACATGTGGTAGATTTCTTTCTTTTCTGTAAGGCAACATGATATAATTGCCTGGACAATATCAAATACCCAGTATTACAGGGAAAGTAGTTTTGGATCAACATCTTGCATTTACAGCCTGTGTTTGCCATCTTGGCTTTGGTAATTTCAGCACACGCTTAGAACTTACCTAATTTGAGCCACAAAGTGCTCCCCAAAGCCCCTGAAATACAGGAAAAGCTGCCACTGAAATCTTGCCATTATATGACCATTTACAATCCTTTTGTATATGCAGTTGCATTAAAACTCCCTATAAAAATTGCAGTGCCTGAAAAATCTACTGATTATATTAAAATTCTAATATGGAGATCCTTTTGGCATGTTGAGGGCACAGAAATAAAACCAGACTACTCTGTTCTTGACCTGGTAACAACTCATTACTCACAGCATATAGATCTTTTTTTAATTACAACTAATTTCGTTACTGTTAAAAACTCTGATAACCACAGCTCTGAAAAAGTCTTGCTGAGGCAGTTTAAGGCATTATTGCCTCCAGCTGTCTTTCAACCCATTCTGTAGAGGATGACAGGCACATACATAAGTTCACCCCACACACCAGTACCCAAAAATGGGTTTGTGCAGAGCTGCCAATGACCCCAAACAGCCAAGGTACGAGGAGGTTTACCCAGTGTCTTTCCTAAAGCAGAACAAATCTATTCTATTACAGAAAACATAATGTGTCCATTTACAATTCTAAATTTAGCTGCTCCACAAAAAGGACTTCTCCTTAATATCTGCACAAGCATAAACAGCACTGGAGAGATGATACAAAGACTGGAACAGGTATTTGAAGATGTTCCTGCCTAAAGTGTATGAAATTTGAAGTAGAACATGTTTTCACAAGTAACTTGGGACCCTCTGTTATACTTGCCCAAACCACTACCCAGTCCCTCATTTAGATATCTCATAAAATGGATTTTTTCTATGACGAGAAGAATTTGTGCTTACTGAAATAATATCTAGAAGAAGGAAAAAAAATACATTTCATTTAAAGATAACAAAGAACAATGTTGTCAAGTTGCAGAAGTGCCCTCAGGTGATGACACTGAAATCTCAGAGCTTCCCCTTCTCAAAAGCTTGGTGTTTGTCTCTTTTTCTAACACTGCCAGCCGTCAGTTTTAGATTGTGAGCTTTGAGGCAGGGATGAACATCGCACAGGAAAAAAGAAACTCTTTTCCCTGGTAATCACTGCACTTAGAAAAGTTTCATTTTGCTCCCAGTCACCTTTTTTTTTTCATTTTAACACAGCAGTTAAAATGAAACCCTGCAGCCCTGCTGTCACAGTCTGCTCCAGAGGGTTACGGCTGGCAGCAGGCAGTGTAAGACTGGGATAAAGTCCCAAAGATTTTACTGCCTGAAATTACTTTTCCTAGCCACCCATCAGTGCAGCTGAAAGCATTAAGGTTCCTTATATTCATCCTACCTTTCACAGTACTTGCACAAAGGAGGAGCCTAAAGAAATTATGGATGCAAAAATGAGGGGTTTTCAGTATTTTCCCAGGGCTGTGCTGGGGCATGGAGCCATTAACAGCTTCTTCTCCATTTACATCCTACTCCTTTAGCATTTACAGCTCATGGAGCTCAGGGGATTGTCCTAATATCAGATGGGGAAAGGAGTAATTTCTTTACAGAATGACTAGAAAAATCCGTGTGTAGGAAGCTCCTCTTAAATACCCTTCTACATTGCTTTCATGCCATCAACAATAATGGCATTGGCTTTGGCTAAAAATTCTGAGATCTAGGTATAAATTCAGTACATAATTAGAAAAAAATTGTATATGTCTATGGAAAATGAGGGGGAAAATCAGGTTTACTTGAACTCTGTATTTGGTTTAGCAAAAGACATGTAATCTTTGGGAAGTGCTTCCTTTAAGCAATGTTCCAGGCAACGCTGCAAATGACAGGAAAGCAACACCTCAGTGATGCTGCCATTTTTTGAAAGGTCTGCTAATTAATTGGTTAACAAAGAAGTGTTTGGTTTGTCCACTCAAATGACATACATGAAAATTTTCAGAGAAAAATACCCAAAGAAATCAACCAAATTCAGTTCTTCAGCGGGAAGATGCACCATTCTATCCATAAGAAAAAGAGCCAGAGGGAACAGGGGGCAGGGATGAAGTCAATGGCTTAAACTCCTCCTTTGGGTGACAGGGACAATAAAAGTGAAAGATCTGCAAATCAGCTGGTCCTGGTGGATGGCTGGGGAGGCCACTGCCACCTTCAGTGACATTCCTCCCCCACAGCAACACCAGCCTGCAGAAACCCTGGCACTGCTCCCTGGCACACTCAGCTCCAGGACCCTGGTGCTGCCCAGCGTGCTGCAACTGAGCTGGAACGCCGCTAAATAAAGGGATAAATAAAGGGATACTCCCACCCTGGGAACAGCTCAGAGATACAGATTCCCACCATCCCAACACCAACTTTCAAAAAGAAAGAATCTGTATATTTATCTTGTTAGCTACAACTGTAATATGGAAAGATAAAACAGCTCCACATTGAAATAAAATAGCTATTGAAATAACTCATCATTAAATCTCAATTTCTAATATTGACTGCTTAGTTCATTTACCCATAAAAGGACATTTTACTGATTTTGCTGAGTGTAAAACTAAGTGTACTCAAGGATATTTCATTGCCAAACACTAATGAATGAAAATTAATCATAAAACCAATAAACTCACTATTTTTAAAAGGTCTTACTAAACTACCTGTGAAAGGCAGGTCAATAAAGCAAATTTTCCCAACTTTTCAACAGAAGAAGCACAAAGACTGCACAAAAATAAAACTTGCATAGTACTTCATGCTTTACCAAGTACAATTACAAAATGGATTCTTAAGCAGAAACAGAAGAATATCTTACTATGAGACAATAAGTAAACCTTAGAAGATAGCAATGTGTGTTTTTCATCACTACAGTTCTCTTTCCTGTTAAAGAATAGTACTTAAAAGAAAAAATTTACTTAGCCAGAAAATAAGGGAGCACACAGAATGTGGTGAAGAAAAAAATACTTCTCTGGTAGTTTTTTTTTTGTTGCCATTACACAGTTTTTTGGACTTTTCCTTAGGCTGCAGACATGAGGTTCCAAAAATGGTAAGGTAATTGACCTTGACATTGCCCCTGGTATGCTGCAAATATAAGCATCCCAGAGAAATGTAAAAGCAAAACATAATCTGCCTGCCTAAAGGAGTTTATTGTGTATATATATACACACATATATATGTATCTATAGATATGTATATCTGTTTTGCTTATCTATCAAGCATATAGCTTCATTTTTTTTGTTTAGTATTTTATATCTGTTTCCTTTTTATTACCTGCATTATCAACAATGATTCTTTTCACAGCAACTTCTCTTGCCAGTGTCTGGTCTCCTATTTACCAGGTATTTCATAAATCATAAAGATCTTTAGGCACATGAAAGCGGGAGCCAGCTTTAAAAGTAACATTATTTAATCAGGTTTTCCTACAAGAATATGCAACTGTATATAATGACAGAACAAAAATCAAAAGTGACAGATTGGGCGACTGGAATTTCTGTGACTCTTTAAATCTGTTAAAATGCCCAGCCTTCTAATTCTGGAACAGAATTTAGCACCAGCTGGAATCCTCAGACAGTATTAGTAAACAGTAACAAAATGTCCCTAAAATAAAATTTTTAAATCATGAGTTTAGAAAACACATGCATAAAATGAAACACACATACTAAATTTAAAGATTCATGTGACTGACCAGGTCAAATCCTGTCACCTGGGAACCAAAGAAGAAAAGCAATACTTAAATTTGCTGAGGATGTTTTGTTTGACAGATTCCAGGAGACTTACAGAGAATACGGTGAGATGTGACTTAACAACAGCTGAAATTCAGAGTCCAGGGAAGCAAATTAGTGTTCCTGCACCAACAACATGAAGCCAGTGTTCAATAAACCAAAAAACTTTAAAAAGGAGGTGAAGAACCTTGGAACCCACAAGTTGGTTCCAGGGTATTGGATTTCTGTTACATTCTCTCCCTCCAAGCACAGCCTGAGGAAAAAGGAAATCTCTAATTCCACCCAATAAATCCAAACATAAACATGATGGCAAAGAGGAACACATTGCTGACAGTGCCCCTCAGGGTGAGCAAACTTCGTGGTGCAGCCCCTGAGGCCAAGCCCTACCCCTGCCCCACCATTTTCAGGCAATAAAACTTCAAGTGGCTGTACATCAACTGCACTTGCTGAGGTCGCACAAACAGGGTTCAACTAAGGCACAACTGAGCCAAATGAGTTTGCTCAGGTGTTTGACACATCTGGAGTTACAGTACCACAGCCACAACACATCTGCTACCCACAGCATGGGTTCAGTAAATGTCAGTTTGACTTTAAGCACCTGCTTCTAGAACTTTTCTTGGATTCCAGAGGTCCCATAGAAACCAGACATGCTAATGAAAATCAGAAGCTCTGAGTGGCCAGCTCTGGAGCACAGATATAACATGACTTTACTGGTAAGAAACCAGCCCTGTGAAATGTGAGAAGATATTTCATTGCTCCTTGTCTAAGCCTTGCTTGCTAAGGGCCTACTCAGCAGGGAAAAAATGATAAACAAATGAAAAAACTAAATGAATCCAAGTCATGTTTGTACGAAGAGTTGGGGTTACACAACCATACAGAGCAGCAGTGAGCCAAAAGAGCCTCTTGAAATAAACATGAACTTGTCAAAAGAAGGCAGCAAATACATTCCTGGAGACATGGAGCATTACAAGATCCATGCAAAGGATACTAATTTTTCCCTTATGTCTGTGACAGCTGGGTATCAGCAACAACTCAGCTCGAGGAATGTTTCAAGCTATGTTTGAATCTACTTTGATGACGTGCAATGCCAGGAACCAGAATATGAACATTTTAGACATTAAGAAAGCAGCTTGGAAATCTGGATTTGAAATTGCTCACTTGAGTCCTAACCCAAAAGGACTTTCCCAGAGAACAGAGTGCAGTATCAGGGAACTAACGCCAAGGCTGAGTTTTATTGACACAATACTACTTTATTCCATTGTTTCAACTTTCTTACAGGTTTAAAAAAAATGTATAGGGGTTCAGAACCACCTCAACAGAACAAAGAATACAGAATTAAGGGAGCTCTAGAGTAAACCACAAGTGTGCACACGTGGTCAGCTTTCATTACAAAAAGTAATAGGCACAATCTTTACATACGCATTTTGGTGAAAGAAGGAATAATAGTGCAGTGTTAAAAGGCACCAATAATCAATAATTGGGCCTTTTTTTAAAAGCCAATAACCATCTAAGGAAATTACATTTGGTTCAAAGTTATAATTTAAATATTGTATTGACTGGCATGCATCTGAACCCCTGGCAATTTATTACACAAACCTTATGTGTGCCTTTGCAAAATCAAAAAGATTTCATCAGTGGACTTGTACTGAACTTGAAAGTCAGTTCAGTACAAAAGGACATACCGAAGCTCTCGGCCTGCATTTAACAACAAACTGTCTTGTTTACCTCCTCTGAGAGCACTTGTCTAACAAAGAGCTGCACAGAAGTATTTCTCTTAAAGCAAGTGTAAATTTTTTGATCCTGTAGCATTGACCTACTCCATGTGCTATGAAAAACATTAGGCACAGACCACAATTTATGTTTTCTCTTAAAAAGATACGGTATGTGCAAGTGAGGTTCACACAACAGACTGACAGCTACAACAGTAAGCTCTTTAGATTTCCCAAAGAAAAGGGTCATTTATTGTAAATTTTCTAACTAGTGCTGCACACTGCTGTGTGCCACTATCATATCTGCATTAGGAGCACCTGTGGAATCAGTAAGGAAAAACTTCAGTACACCCTAAAGGACATGATATCAACACTGCGTGCTGACTGAAATAGGTCAGGACAGTGAATGACTGGAGAAATCACTGTACATGGGCAGTTGCAGCCAGCCAGGGAGGGCCACTGCTTCCTGCAGAGAGAATGGTTTGGAACTCAGGTAACCTCACAGGTGCCCTCAAACTCACCCACCTGCATACAATGGAATAGAGGGATGCACAGCATGGGAAAAAAGGGGAAATGAGAGAGAGGGTTGCTGTGCAAGTTGTACCACAAGGTGCCAGTTTATCCCAAAGCATCGTGCCCAGGGTAGGGTTTATGCACTGCATACTGGAAATTGTACAATACGTGAGCAAAGATAGAGCTGATTATTACCTGCAGTATCTACTACAGTCCTCAAGTATATAATTTACGGATAGCTGCATACTGTGCTGTTGATTGCTTCCTCTTAAATGCATTAAAAATCTGAAGGCTACAGTATACTCTGACACAAAGACAACTTGTCTACCAGGGGAAAATGTAAGATAGTAACTAACTAATTTGTTTTACAAAGAACCTCCTCTGATGTGCTAGTTGCTTCATGCCCTTTAGAAGATTTTTTGTTCTGACTTTCTTCATCACCTCTGTTGAATTGCTCTCCTGACAATTTCACAAGAGTTCAGTGGCCCTTCTTACAGCTGCCTTTGCTTTTTCCAGGATCCCTCTTAAATTCACTCTAATGCCACGGCAAGCTGTTCAAGTAAACATTTCCCTCTGGCAAGTTTCCAGATACCACAAATATTATCAAAACTCAGCATTTGATTACATGCACCAGTTTTCTTTAAATGGAGCAGGAATTAGCCCGTTTCCTTGGCTTAGGGTCCCGTACATCCCTGTCTTTTGAACACACACAAGATGAACATATTGTCTCTGACAGCCTCCGTAGTCCCAGCCTGAAAACGCTGTTGGAGAGGCTATATATCACACAGTTGCAGAAACTATTGCTTATAGCAAGCCACGTCGTTAGGAAGGAGAGTGCTGGGTTTTCCAACACCCTAGAGCTTTCCAGCAGAAAGTATATGATATAAGGGAGCCAGAGCACGTAGAACACGCTGGTTATCCGGAACAAAACCATGGCATAACGGCGGTCGGGGCTGTGCCCAGCCTCCCCAGCAGCATCCCCTTCGTGGTTGGGAAATCGAGCTCTCCGATCACTGATCTCTTTGGTGTGCTGCCGGCAAATTTTAAAGATGTGGAAATAGGTGAAACATATGACAAAGGCAGCAGGAGCGTATAGTAAGCACACAATAAAGCCAGTAAAGTAGGCATTAGTTAGCCAGGAGGTAGCACACCATTCAAAAATATCTCCATGGTAACCAGGTTTTCCCCAACCGAAAAAAGAAGGCAAAAAGATCAGGCAAGAGTATATCCAGATCAGACTGATGCAGATTCTCAAGCGACAAGGTGTGACCAGTTGGTTATAGGAGAGAGGCTTTGTTATAGCGAGATAGCGATCCACACTGATGCAAGCAAGACATGCCATAGATACGCTTTTGAGCACAGAGATGATGTATCCAAAAACTTGACAAGTCAAGGACTCGTGGACACCTGTTGAGTAGTGAAGCAGTGACAAAGTAGGAACCAAGCAGCTGACTCCAACAAAAAGATCAGCATAGGCCATGGTCTGAATAAAATAGCTGGTGGTGTAATGATGCAGGAGTGGAGCACAGTGGAAAACAAATATCACAGTTAAGTTACCCGCAATAATTAAAAATGTTAGCAAGACAATAACGACTGTCTCAAGGATACAGATGTCAACTGCATTGTAGTGACCAAATCCGAGAGGGCAGGAGAGGTGCTCAGATATGTTCATAACACTACTGCTCATATTCAGAGTCCTCCATTCAATCCATCGGGACTGGTTCATGTTTTGTGCTTAGGGAACAGTGCAATCTGAGCCTTAGTGAGCAGGTGACCTGCTGAACAGCAGCTAAACTCTGCTTCAGCGCCTCACGGTCTTTCTCTGCAGACACTGCCAGTGCTTACATGGGAGAGGATTAGAGTCCCATAGCTGTTGATGCCTCCTCAGCATCAGTGCATCACCTCTGGCACACCTTGGCTTTAAGGAAAGAACGAAAGAAAGAAAGAGAAAGAAAGAAAAGAAAAACAAAAGCCAGAAAGAGAAAGGCCACTGATCAGCTCCTCCAGTGCTCTTGACCCATCTTTAGCAAACACAAGGCACTTCAAAAACAAACAGAAATAAAAACTGACAAAAGAGACACATTCATTTCCCAGGGAAGGAGGGGAGGGAAATCTGACTTATTTTCCTGAGAAAGTCCTTTACTTTGGAATATACTGGGGAGAGGGAGAGGAAGGGAAGGAGGAACCTCAGTACAGCTCAGGTTTCCTGGACCAGGCAGTTACTGGAGATAATCTTTATGTCTTAGTTTAAATCACAGACTGTTTGGAGATTAAAGGAAAAAGTTCATCCTCTAATGCTGTCTTTTCTTGTTCAATTCTGAAGATGGTACTCCATCTTATCCATGCTATTCATTGGAAAGGTAAGGAAAACATTTTTGTCAAGGTTAATTCCAATAGACTCACCACTATTTGTGTATGAATAATGAATTTTATTTAGGGGGAGACAGGTGGGGGATGAAGGAGATTTGTCCTCTGGCTCCCAAGAAAGAAAGCATACATCTCGCATACAATGAGGAAGATCATGTCTATTCATTTAAAAAATGAAAATAATTTTAAAATAAATTTTGGAGACTCGTGTCAATATTTACAGTTCCTTTAAACAGTTATAGTCCATTACAATTATGAATGCCAGAATCATAATTCAGTGTCCCCATAGACAAAATAAATCCTCTTGAATTTAATTTCAGCAATGGCAATTTAAAAGAATCATCTTTAGAAACTCTGTTGTATCTACTACAGTGGATCAGTACCCAGGAGTTCATAGGTATATCCATGATATTGCTCACCTCTGTAGCAACAACTGAATCATTTCACAAAACCCCACACAATGAGCTCAGAAACTTCCATCTGCATTCTGCTGGGAAGCTAATGAAATGCTGATTTGACTAGAAAAGCTGCCATTGTTTACTACTCCATTATTCTGTTGCTCAGCTTCATCTTCTCAGGGGTTTAAGGTTTCTGAATTTATTAGATGATCTGCATAATAAATAGTTGCTTTAAAAAATTGTTCTTGTATTTGCAGGACATTACCTTGTTCATTTTATTCACAGCTATGGAGACAGAAAACATTAAAAGAAAGCATCTTCTGTGTTCAGTTTTAAGTAAATGCTTGATTAGTTCAGGAATCATTAGGCAGGTAATTAAACGTATACAATCTTGTTTTTTGAAAGGCCCCTAAAGCGTTAAAACCATCATTAATCTTAGAGTTCCTGAGACTAGAAGACCAGCAGTGAAAATTAATGAATCCATATAAAATCATCTCCAAGGTCATTCAGCTGGCATTTGATTTAAGTCTCTTTAAAAGTACCAGGATCTCTCTGATGTTTCTGATAGTCCTTGCCGTGTCTTCAGGAGGAATTTCTGATACTAGAAAAACCAAATGTTCAATTCTGTCGCAGCACTTTGAGAGAACGCATTCTTTTTGGAGTTAATTTCCTGTCGTGCACCGCCACGCTGTACAGAAAAGTCCTTTTAGATTTTATAACATCCCCGAATATTTCCGCCTGTTTGCTCCCTCTGTCTATAAGCAACGGAGCACGTATAAAATCACTCGTTTCTCCAATTCCCTGCTAAAGCAATAGAGAAGCTTTCTCACCTACACGCATCCTCAGCAGCCGCTATGTCCAATACTTGTCAGGGAATCAGTCCTGTTACCGCGGTGCGGCTGGAGCGGCTGCCGCTGCCTCCCTGCTCCCCCCGTGCGATGATTGCCTGCACCTGAGCCCGCTGCTCCTCCTCCTCCTCCTCCTCCCCGCCGCAGCCCGCCGGGCGCTGGAGCGCTGCCGGCCGCTCCCCTGCTCTCGGCCCGTCCAACGGCGCCGCCGCTGGCACCGGGAGCGGCACCGGGAGCGGCACCGGCAGCGGCACCGGCAGCGGCACCGGCAGCGGCACCGAGCCGGGCACCCGCGGCCGCTGCTCTCCGGCTGCCTCGGGAGGAAGCCAGCACATCCCTCCTAGAGAGATGTGTGTACATCGTCCAGACATAACCTAATAAACTACTGTCATCGCCCCACTGAAACTGTTTGCTAAAACACTCTATTTAAAAGAATCATCCCACGGTATTAATTGTGCACTCACCTTTCAAGGATCACCTGCTGAGGTTTAGCTTAGTAAAATAGCTGCTGCTGTGCCACACAAATTTTCTAGTCTTCCTTAAAAGGCAAAATTACAGTCCCCTTTTTAATTACAGTCCCAAAATAATTACTTCTAAACTATGTTACAAAACTCATCCGTACCAATTTTTGATACTATTCCAGTATTACCAGTATAATACCTTCACTATCAGTTTAAATACAAATACTTGCAACACATTGTTTTCCAAACTGAACCAATTAACTCAGCTCTCTACTCCTGCAAACAGATGCAGCTAGTCTCTGATTAAGTACTCAAAACTTCTGGTTACTTCATGCTTCCTAAAAATAAATCCAGTCACAGAAGTACAAACACTAAAGTTATCTTACAGACACTCCATGCGTCCTTAGACACCGAAACAGCAAATTTAGATACCAAAACACCAACCACAGAACAGCATTTGGGCTATTAACCAGCAAGAAGCCATGTCTTGGGAGGCTTTAACCAACCAAGTCATTAGCAACTACAGTGATTTAAGTCCTTCTAGCTCCATGGCAAACCAAAGGCAAAATTTTAATAAGCTGCTGCCGAGTTAACATCTTGTATTTCGAGTATTGCCTGGAGCAAATGTCCAAATCTGAATGACAAGTCTATAGCAACGTGAAGCAGCACAAACTGCAGCAGTGTAAGAGTGGTTTGCAGCAAGGGCATCTGATCATTCCAAAGTCCTCTATCAGAGGATTTAAGAAAAAATTAAACTATCTCTGATACCTCAGAATGGTAAATGGCTGTAACAACAGACATAATGACTAAATTTAGACCCTGAGCACAGCTTTAAGCCCCAGTTATCCATACTAGAGCAGAACAATAGGGAGCAATTTTTATTCCTCCTCTTCCCACTCCTCCTGTGGGGGAGGAGGAGGAGGAGAACAAACAGCGTGCATAGGCATGGCAGTGACCAACACTTCTCTTTGGGGCAGATCATGTTTGGCACCAGGGATATAAACAGCCAAAACACCTTAAAATAGACATTAGGGAGCCCCAAAGGCACACAGGGGGCATGAGATAAGCAAAGGTACAGCCTGACAAAGCAGATCACAGGAACTACGTGCTCAGTACATCCTGCTCCACACAGATTTAAGGACTGGTAACTACTGAAGCTTCCAAAAGTCACAATAACCACTGAGTCAACCTTGGTCTCAGGTCAGCCCCAGCTGGTGCCTGCTGTGTGTGCCCGGCTCTGAGAACAAGCACTCCTGGCAGCCATATGTTTCAGGTCTGCTAGGAGAAGTCCAGGCTCTGCTGAGCAGGTAACAGGAAAATCAATGGCAACCTCTGCTGGCTGGTTCTAGACGCAGGTAAAATGTGTCCTCTAAAGAAATTTTAACTAAAGGGACAAAGTGGTTCAAAATCAGGGAAGTTTGACTTCTTTAGGAGTCTTGCTTCACTACCAAAAAACCAGTCATGCTGCAAGCTGCCAGTGGCTTTATCACCTCAGCCACTCACTGTAAACTGCGCCATGCTAACAGCACTAAGTTGTACTGTTTTATGTATATTTTGGGGCAAGTGAAAAGTAATCAGAAATCAACTAGTCCTGCTGAAACTATGCAGTTACAGAGAGAATTTTACAAAATGCAGCTATACCAGAAAGTTGTATCAGAGACAGCACATTAAAAGCCGTATGAGAAAAGTTTTTTTATTTGGAGATTAGAAGCACATTTGGGCCTCTGGCACAGTTTTAAACAAAACCTGCTTCAGGTTTTTTTTCCTAATTTGTGTTTTAAGAAAAGGAAGCGAGGAAGAGAAAAGTTCTACTGGAAAAATTGCCTTACTGTCATCAAGGCAGCAACTTACATGGTGCCCATGTTCCCACAGCTGGTTATATCCAGCTGGTGGATTGAGCACGCTTCAAGCCCAACAGAAGGAGCAATTCCTCACCTTCTTTATAAATTATGCTAAAAACAATACAAATCACCATACAAAACAGAAGGCTCACACCATCTGATCCTGCTGAAAACAGAGGGGATGTGGTAGGAGCATGAGCTTTGTATATGCAAAGCAAGGCTGTGAAAGCAGTGGTGATGTGGGACCCTGGAAGGAAACCAGATAAAGCTTCTCAGACAGAAAAAGTCCATATGGAAGGAGATTTAGAAGCTCCAAGCAAGAAAACAATAAATTAGTCATTATGTTTGAAAATGAATAGCAATATTTGTTTGCTAAATCCTTTGTTGTAAGGAAACAGGACTGATAGAAGCAATCCCTGCAGTGCACAAAGCAGCATCTCAATCACACCACTCATTTCTAGTTTAAAGTCTTCCCTTGTTAAATTATTGGATGGTCAGCTGGATTAAATGGACAACAATTGTTCCTGTAAAATCTTTCTGAAAGGCATTGATGAGAGCAAGGAGGTCCAGCTGAGTGTGGGATGAGGAACATAGCAGTTATTTATTTAGATGCAGACCTGAATGACAGTGTTGATATACATACCAGCTCATCAACTTCAATTTTTTCTGCCCAACTCCTTTTTTTTATTTTGTTATTTTACAGTATTTTTTCTTTTATATACTTTCTCCTAAGCCTAAAGGTGCTTCTTTCAGCTTGTTTTATTTTTAATCTTAACTACCTCTGGTATTTACTTTTACATGTATCTTATGGATACCTTGGTTTTGTTTTTAATGCCTCCAGAATAATTGTATTCTATAAAGCTTGCATTTGTAGTACAGCTTAAAAGTAACAGAGAACGAAGGAAAAGTATTTGTTGCCTTAAAAATTGTGTGTGTGTGTATGTGTGCATAGACAGGGCTTTCTACATCATATTGGTGTTTGAAGTTGCTCTATGAAGTCATATTAGTGCTGTATTTGAGGCAGAAATCTGTTCTATTTGTTATTTGGAATATAAAGCCTCTTCCCCAAATCCACCCACTGGAGCTGTCTATTTAAAACCTGCCGGAGAGCTCACGCTTACACAGAACACACGGGGATTTTGACCTCAGCGCAGGCATATGATGAGATATAAGAAGTGTCTATATGTATATAAATAAACCCAAATTTTTTTTTTTCTAAATACAAGCTTAGGCTTCTCAAACCCCTTACACCCTGTGGATACCATCTGACCCCATGTCTTGCTCCAAAGAGGGGGCTAAAGTTCTAAGTAAGAGCCAACACCCAATTTAAGCCATGTTGTGCTGGGTTCTCATTCAGCTGAGCTATGAACATCTCCAAGCATGGAGTTCTCATTGGGCCCCTGTTCCAGTGTCTGACCACTCTCTCTGTGACTCCAACCATCAGCTCAGAGTTTTTCTTGCTGTGGTTTGTCTTCATCCTCATCGAGACTAAACACACTTGGGCCAGCGGCAAAAACCCACAAGTGTCAGCTCTGAAGGAAACAGTATATTGTAGAAACTTTTAAACCATTTCTCCACCTGCTAGCCTCATTTTTCAATTTTGCTATCAGAGACCAGTTCCTTTCCTTCTCCCTCCCACCCTATGATCCTAAAGAATGCCATAAATCATTTTACAGCACTACAACTCATGTACCTGGTGCTGCAACAAAGATCAAGAGACACCAGTTACACAGTTGCAGCTCTGAAATGCAGATGCTCTTGTGGACCTCTTGGGCACAGGAAAAAAGCCAGCACAGGCCTTTTCTGGACTTGGTGGCAGCAGCAGAGTAGGTTCTGAAAGGTGAGGCAGAAGGAAGAGGCTGGTATAATCTGGAGTCAAGGGTCGGGGCAGTTCAGGAGACTGCAAGGGGACAGCAGCCTTCTAAAAAGTCAAGAGATGTGAAGGGAGCTAATGATCCCTTTGCCTTTTACTACTGCTACTCCGGCAGGCCCAGGTTCAGCCCGATCCTCTGCTGGACTCACGGCTCAGTCCTTTTCCAGCACTGTTTCTAATGATGCAAATATTAGCCAGTATCACACAAGTGTTAGGTAATTAGGATGCTGTGATGCAGAACAAGAAGAAATGGGTAAATTATTTTTTTACGTGGATCAGTAGAGAGAGATGGGCATTCACATTTGCAAGTTTATTGTGCAGTCTTTTCATGCTGTTAAGCAACAATTACATTAAATGCCTCTAAAGTTTGAAACTTTCAAATTACTCCTAATATTATTCATGAATAAATATTATGCAAGATTTTGAAGTAGATTGCTACAGTTTCCTTTTAAACATTACTGCCTGTGATCTCATGGATTATATTTCATAGCATCACACAATGGTTTGGATTGGAAGGGATTTTAATGATCGTTTTGTTCCAACCCTCCCCACCATGGGCAGGGATTCTATTCAAAGATGCATACATAGCAAATATTTTTCTGAATTTCATACAAAAGAACATTTTCCTTAAGGAGGAGCTTCCCTCAAGATGATATTGATGGTTCTACAGCAAATTGAATCCACTTTACAAGCTCAATCCAGATGACAAATACCACCAAACTCTTGTGCCCTGAATCGATGGAAATAAAACTCTGTGCAATAAACTATCAATCAAGAAGTGAATTTACTTCAGGGAAATGCTGTGCAGCCAAGTTAATGGTGACAATTAACATTTTTCAGGAGCCAAAGAGCATTTGCTTTAAACAGCACATAAGCTACAGAAGGATGCTATTTACTGACTGACCATATATGATAAGAAGCACCAGATAAACTTGTTAAGATGGTACAAAAAGCAAAAATTTAAACATGTGCTCTTAGACAGTTTCATGTGCCACATTAAACCACATGCTCTTCCACTAGCAGTAGTTTAAAAAAGAAAAGTATACCAGGAAAACAGCACCAACTTACTATCTTCCACTGCTCCCATCATTCAAGGGACAATTAAAATATTAAATCACAGGGCAAAAGCAATTAAGAGAACTGTAAATGAAGAAATGCTGAAATGTAGAGAACAGTCTGCACAGTGCAAGTAGCACTGCCCTTTCCTTTCGTGTGGGAATCATTCTTCATATTTCAAAACAATACATAAGAGACTTTAGTACTGCATTCATTCAAACTTTTTAGAGACATATTCAGACATAGTTGTAGTTTCACTAATACTTTTGTCTGTGTGAAGTCAGGAATTACATTCCATAGATACTGGTATTCTAAAAGCATATTTCAAGTGGACACCAAGAAAGTATATGTTGAAAAGGATTCCAGCTTGCTTGCCAGGAGCATAAGCTCTGTCAGTGTTAGCAGTAATTCCATTTCAGCAGAGCTAGAATAAGAAATTTTAAAGCTATTAAAAAAAAACCCCAAACATTGTGATTGCCTGCTTCAATTTTTCACACACTGCAAGCCAAATAGTTTTCTTAAACTACAGCATGACCTTTTAAAAGGCAAGCAATTTGTATTTAATGAGTTCAACTGATGAATAATTTATTGCAGCCTTAATTAGGTAGCCAACTTGTAAGGCCCATGCAAAAGCAACTACTAAGAATATGAGGAATGAGCCCACATACACCTGTCTCTCAAAACCAAAAGTCTGGATGTACCACAGAATAGTTCCACTTCAGTCTAATTCTCTCTTCTTAGTACTATCTTCTAGTAGTTCTCAGTGAACTGCCAGCTCTTATGTGCCAAACTCACTCAGACAGCAAGAACAGACTCAAATCCCCTCTCCATGGATGTGGCTTGGGTTAAACCATCACAGAACATCCTCCCA